CGTGACGCTCGGTAAGCTGTAAGATGACATGTTATTATTTACCAGACGTAAAAATTCTTCAGATTCTTAGTCTGCATTTTGTACCCACTCTGCAGTCTCCAGTCTATATTTTGTATCCGGTCTGCTGACTGCATTTTGTACTAACAGGTATCTGTGGCACCAATACAGTTTATTTTTGGTTACATTTATTCGCACAAAACACATAATCTACCACAAAATACCTGTGTGTGAGGTAATTCGACATTTTCGTTCTTTTCCACGTTAATACTCTTCTTTCCTTTTTTAAGAATGTAGACCACAAGTAATCCACCCACCCTACAAAAAATAACTCTTGCATGCATAGCATGCCTATGTTTTGAAATAGGTGTATGCCCTTAGCCAGACTTGAGCTCACTATTTCAGTATACTAATCCGACACCAGTAGTATCACTACACTTGATTCCAAGGATCCAGTACCATGCAGGTATCCCAGTTACCCTGCTCACAGGGTCTAGTTAATCTTGAACTGTGGTGAGTCCCGTAAGTCTGTTAGGTAGATAAGCAGGTGAAGTTTTTCCCAATTAAAAAAAAGGAACACATCATATGATGAATCAAAATAAATATTGATTTAAAATCAATAGATATCGATTAGACAATTCTGAGCAACGTCAATGTCGTGGTTACACTATAACACATGGAGCTTTATTAAGCCAAAAGTTTCGTGATTTATGGTCTGAAATGGAAAGGAACCGAGAAGAAGTTCCGGAACAGTTTGTCAGATAGTCCGAGATATTAAAACCGGCGATGATTTTTGTCGAATGGAAGGCACCCGTGGTGAGGAAACAAGCCTGGGCTTACCAAAGGAAACTCATGAAGGAAGGAAAAATTCATCATAATCCCCAGTACCGATTTTCATTTTGATTCACGCTAAAGCAGTGGCACTTTCCGCGTTTTACGTACAAATCAATTTACGTTCACTCAAAAAATATGGGGCGCTCGCGTCAGAAACCAAAGCTATAGATTGATATTTTCATGTTCTACAACAACGTGTAACGGTGTCGAACATGTTTAACAGTCGATTCTGTGCCCATTTCCCCAAAAGCTATTAAACGGTAAGGCTTAAATCACTTCTCCAATCTATATCTCCGTTTCGATTTAGCAAAGGAAATTACTAGAAGCTGAGGTTCTAATGAACAGTAGATTAGCTCGGGCGTGGACTGAGAACAGAAACCCCGACGGTAGATTCTTTGAATTTACACCTGGAGCTAAACGCTTCTAACATACGTTGTGTTGAAGTTGAGGTGTGGCGTTGTGAGGGACGGTAAACACATCCAATCATTCGCGGAATTCTAACCAAAAATATGAATACCTCTTCATCGACGTCTTCCTCAGCGTTGCCGCCAGGACCGCTAACGGTCACTTTAGGGCCTCCACGCGTTACACTCAGTGTGGTCCAAGTGAATTCGCCAGTCTTTGTTTAAAAACAACTCGCGAGTGCAAAGCAATTCCTTAGAAATAAACATTTTATACCTAGTTTGCCTAAAAATTATTTCAGAAACTTTTTGAACTCGAGGAACATTTGTAAGGGCGCCTTATTTAAGTAATGTGTCAGATTCAACGGCAGCGTAAAATACTTCGATGATATCAAACTCCTGAACAACTGTCATGTACGTTGTCATCTTTCAAATATTCTTTTTACAATTATGAACGTTTCCTACCGCATGCAACTGATTACGCAGTTGAAGGGTGCTTTCCGATCTGATGTCTTGAAACTTTATCCAGATTTCGTTCTCCAGTTTCTCGCAATACTTTTTTGTTTCTTCGTTCATTAGACGGATTCTGACGCCAATTTCTGTATTGTTAAAAATGGAATAAAAATTCCCGTCTGAGTATTTTAAAACAGATTACCATGTCTACTATGGAAGCTTAGCACAACGGCGTGTTCTCTTTGTGTGAGTTTCCCACAGAGCGGCTAACTGAAAGTTTTATACCAATAAAAGGGCTAACTGTAACTTGGCTTGTAACTTTTAACAGAGGTGAACCTTATTACATCTTTTACATACCTGCTGCTGTACCCAAAATTCCGAGTCGAGAGCAATTTTCACCTTCGATTTCCTCTAAAGCAGAAGGAACTAGAAGGATAATTTGTATATTGCAATTTAGTTGGAATACCTTGAGCTGGCGTCATTTAAAGGTGATTTGATAAGCAACTTTTTACTTCAAAGATGATAACCTTTTAATTTCCGCATAGTATATTTATTACCTTTAAAGTGTGGGTCAAGCAGTAGTGCTGATTGTTGATTTCCGATATTTCTAAGAGCTCTAACGAGTGCGTCAAATGTCTTTTGGCCCTCTGGTCCATTCTGTTTCTTTAATTTTTCGAGAAGAGTCGCTGTCGCGTAAGCGGGTCCTTCATTCCGTTCCTCGCAAGTGATTTTCTCTTTATCCCATTTTGGTAAATTCAAATACTGTAGCAGCTTAGTTGGTGCGACTTCCTCGATTAAATGTGGTGTTCTTTCATCAAGGAGATCGATCCAAGTTGCTTCTGGAATTGTCATGATCAGCTTACTTACTGACGGTCGACAATTAAGTAAGTGTTGAGGTTGACTTAAGCGCACCATATAAATGCTCCTGAAAGGGGATTTATATGGAAATTACGTTCGATTTGTTCCAAAATTAATTTTTGCTTTTGAAGGCAACTTTCGCTTTCCTAACTTTCACTTTCAAAAGTTAGCGTTAACATAAACACACCATATAAATACTCCTAAAAGGGAATTTATATGGAAATTAAGTTCGATTTGTTCCAAAATTAATTTTTGCTTTTGAAGGCAACTTTCACCTTCCTAACTTTCACTTTTAAAAAAGCCCCCCCTATATGATACTACTGGGTAACTCCCGGCAAAAGCTCTAAGAGTGAATAGTTTTCCATCTCAAAGCTTTCTTTTTCTCTCGTTTTCTCTCTCAAATGTATGAGTTCGTCCCCGAGGAGACTTAAGCCCAAACTGTAGTGGGGAGTTCAGTGTGTTATAAAAATAAGCTTCAGTCACCTCTAAAGATAACTTTCACCTTCTTGACTCTCCAAAGAAAAAGAAAATCTTCTTTCAGTACGGCCGGTTATTCCTGGAAAAAACTCTAAAGGATAACATTTTTTATTTCATTGCCGTAAGATGCACGACAAGAGACCACTTAAGGAGAGCCTCGACCAAAACTGTTAATTTCAGACAATATATGCAGAGAGCTTGAAAACGGAATATGTTTGACTTGACTTCCCCCAGCAAAAGACAAAAATGACTTGTATCTTAGAAGGGGAATGACCTGTTCTTTCTTTCAGTTTCAAATATGCGAGTTCTATCAGCTGGAAACCAAAACCGCCTCCAACTGAATTACTGATGAGAACTGATGTCATCCGTTTGGTAACTAAGTGAATTTCTACAGTTACGGAAGAGGTCCAACTTTTTTAACCCCAGGTTGGCTTGACGGGCACTTATTGCTTCCCATTTAAAGAGACTAGTCTTTTGATAGCATAACCAGTTTTCAGAGCCTTACATCGCACTCAATGTCCACCTTAAAAGTTATTGTTGAATTTCGTCGTTGGTTATTCCCCGTTCTTCTTAGCTCTCCCTGTTTTATTTCCCTTAGTGAAGGTGCTAGACGGTACAAAATGTCAAAAATACATTTATATCCGGTATGAGACCTTGAGACTACGATATGTATCTTATGTCGTAATTTTGAGTTCCCGTTTATCAAATTACTTTTCGCTCATGACAAGGGATACGACAACACTCAATGTCTGTTCATGGCGGCTTTAAAACGACTTAAAACCACTTCTCCTGTGAAAGATAGGAAAAAAACTGCAGACGACTCCTATATGATAAAGGTTGTAACAACATGAAGTCGGATGAGAGTAACAGGAAAGCAAGAGAATGTATTTGACCATGGCTGGTACTTGCTTCTATAACGTGTAACTTCCTGACACAAAACTGTGATTCTCGTTTAATCGTTCTTCACAGGACGGTCACTGTACAGTCAAAATAGCGATGGATAGGTTGATACGAAAAATCGAGAGTTACTCGTAAGACAAATTATTTTAATCGTTTGTCTCACGAGTAACGTTTAAAAACGTTGTCATCACAAACGCGATAAAAACACTCTTTTTTATCAGTATTATTCGTTTGTTCGTTCTCGTTCGTCCGATCTCATTTTTGGCAAAAAAACCAATGGATCTCAAAGAAGCTGTAGGCCGAGTTATTACCCACGATATGTCGTTTTTAAATGTCCGCCATTACTAGACCGTGTTCTATTCGTGTTCTATTGAGGGAGTTGGATCGAGAGCGAGAGTGACTTCATATACGTAGGAGTTTTTTAAAATCTAAGTTTGGTCAGCAATAAATGACTTTACTTTCTCTCACTACCCTGCTCTAAGAAACAAACTTGAAAATAAGTTTAAAAAAAGGCACAGAATTCCACCTCGGGCTCATAATCTTTCAAGACTTTGTAACAAAAATCTTTATTATCTGATTGGTCACAAAAAGTAAAAAAATTATAGCTTGGATCGTCATGTAACTTAACGTTTTTTCATTGGTACCAGTAAAGCTGCCATCATTTCCCACGTAACGAGCGGCCAAACTCCACCATCAAGTTAGTTGATGTCCAGTCAGAGAAACATTCAGCCAATTTTTTTAACCATTTAAATATATATATTTTATATAATTATGTTTACATTTATATTCAAATCCAAAAACAATTATCTCCATTACACTTAGCTACTTTTATACAAATAACCAGAACACAATATGGTTCATTTTTTTGTTGATAAAACAACATACATTGTTAACGAAAAGAACAAAAGGCAGCACTCAGGAGCTCAATCATGAATCTTCCAAGCTGTAATATTTTTAAAATTTCATTCCTGAGCGCTGCAAATATTCTCAGCTAATAATAACAACAAAGAAAGTAAAACAGGTGGGTTGAAGCCGCGGGTTCTTATGATCCACGAAACAATCAGGAGTTTTTACGTCCAGCAGAGGTCTTCAGATTCAAATTGTGGTTTCATAGTTCAACACATTCTCGTCCACACCTTTTTTCTTTCCCTTTCTGAAGCTTCTATTTTCAGGGACTCTTCTTTGCCAGATGTCATACGTACATTCGATGCTTGGTGAATCCGCTGGTACTGATTTCAGTTCCTCTAGAGGGACTCGTTTGTCAACTGTTTTCCAAGGTTCTGTTGAGGGAAACATTGATGACGCACGCAGTCTATTACAGTGCAAAACAAATTTTCTATGGCTGTCTGGTCGCGATTGGTGCATAAAATCGTATAATATTCACTGAAATTTTCTTTTTTTGTTTCAGAAAAATAATTTTTATGAAGGCTAACGAGCACTACGTATTCTAAGCGAAAAATTAGTAAGAGCTCTACTCATCAAGAAGAACGTTAATACATGGAAAATAACTGACCATGTTTTCAAACTGCTGAGTGCAAGCTGAGAAAAGATTTAGCAACAATTTGGACTAAATTTCAGCCATACAAACTGTGTACATTGACAAAATCAAGAGGCCTCATGCAAATTTGAATGTACTTAGCGCGGGATGTGTTTCGACTGAAACCTTGATCGAATGTTTTGTCCCGTTGACGTTTTCCTGATTAAACCTTTAACTCTTAAGATGTCATTGGTAGTTCTCCTTACTGTCTATCATACAATTCTCGTGATGTTGGTTTGGAGAATTTGGTATTGGATCAACTGGTAATCCCCTAATTAATATTTTTCTTTTTTCTCATCACTTTTCTGCCTTATATTGTTTTGACATTGTAAGGAGAAATTCTGTCTTGGTCACTCATGGGAGTTAAAGGGTTAAACTTATTAAATTTTCCATAATCATTGATTATTCACAGTCGCATGCGTACCAGGAAGTTACCAAATAGAACTAAAATAATTAAATTTCCGTCTAAAGAGAATCTTCTCACAAGTAAAACTAACCAACAGTTGATGACAGTGTGACCTGTATCGAGTCGTACAAGGTTTTTGTCTCCACAGGAGGAAGTTTATGCACTGAGGGGTAAACAATAGTCATGTCTTGTTTGCAGGAAACTTTCCAAGCTGTCACATCCAGAATAGCCTGCTGTAAGGCATCTCTCCAGCGGACATACTCTTCGTCCGAATTACACGCCAACACTGGCTCCTTCTCGGGTGTTTGACTTGTAAGTATTAGGATGTGGCGACGATGGAAGGTGGGACTCACTGTGTCTGTAATATCCATTTTCTGAATAAAAACAACAAACAAATCAGTAAATAGCATCTAGAGAACTTTACTCTACAAAAATAACTCTGGCGACGGACATTGACATAAATGATTATTAAAACGACAGATATATTTTCAGTTTTCTTGTACGTTTGAATTCACTGCCGTTTTATCATTTTTTTGTATAATTTTGTCTTGTCGTGGGTAACCTCGTAATGTTAGCCTAAAAAATTTGCAATCGCTGAAATGTCCGCTGTATTGATGGTTTTAGTCTCGGAGGTTGATTGTGTGAAAACGTACGATCATCAAAGAATAGCTTGCAAGCTGACTCCTCCTGACGTGTTTTACGTTTTTGAAGGATCAGACAGTTTCTTCCACTCCATATCATAAAAATAGGTTCAGTTTCTTGATTAGCATTTTGAAAACCAAGCAAAATGCAGAGCTTGCTTTTATTTCTATGCGCTAAACGGAAGATGAGAAGATATGTCTTGGCGTAAGACACCTGAGGGTATCCGGTAACCTACATCCACAAGTATAATTCTAGGGCTCGATAAATACAGTCACTGATGAGACGTACAGAATCGTTTACTAAAATATGTATATGTAGCGATACCGCATCTTACAGGTTTTATTTCTATGCATTCTACGGGATCTCTGTGATTGGAGTCTTCTTTACAGTCCCAGCACTTGATTGTCGCATGTCTCAAAACACACCAGAGCCGACACCATGAAAACTGACTGCAAGTCATTCTCTGAAAATAATCAACATAGAATTGTGGTGTTTATCTGAACAGAACCTGCCACGAGTAAAATTTCTTTTAATGTACTAGCAGGGGTTTTTCAACTAAACTTGTGGTGAGGCTTTTATACTTACAACGTATTTGCACCGATAATCAAGATGAATTACTCTCATTCATGAAGATATACATGTAGATTGGATTAATTTCTTTGGTTCTTTTGAAACCCTAATTACAGCGACAGCAGCTTTATATTTGACTGAGTACTAAGGTGTCAGGCTCTAATTACTCGACCGTACCTGTAGTTCAAGAAAACCATCCATACGGACTTGTTCAACACAAGCAGGTCTGGCAGCAAGACGACAACAAATCTGGCCCCATAAAGCTAGTCTTGGCATGTTTGAATCCTCAGTAGATACAGTGGATGCTAAAGGGCTTGCTCCAACCAAACCTTAAAGCGAAATAGAACGTCAGTCAGGTATTACCTACTACCTAAACCTTTATTGGATTCAGATGTGTATATGGCAACACAACATCTCGGCTAAGTATTTGAAGATCGCTGCACCCCACATTAGTGGAACTTTAACCAAGATATTTAACCAATCGTACAATTGTGGCC